CAGGTAAAATAATTCGTTCGATAAACAGCATTGCCAAAATTTCTATAAAATTATTTATATTTTTATGACTTGAACTACATTCCTCTAGATAAGGGGTGGGAAAATAGTGGACCGTTATGCCCCAAATGCGTTCCTCAGAAAGTTTTTGTGGCTCACCAAGGCAGTCAGAAAACCGAAACAGACGGTAAATGTTCTCTATAATATATGGGTAAACATATATTTGTGAGCAAAGTTTTCCTTGCATGAAGAGTAAATATGGATGTAAGTTGGCTGACATTAATTTGCAGGCACTAATGAGAATTTGAACAAACAATCTCACTCCTGATTTCAAAAAAAATTTGTAGAAAGATGTGATAGGTTACATTTGCCTCATTGAACTGATTTTGAAATTAAATGTACTTGCAGCTATAGATAATAAGAAACTTGCACAATAAATAAATAGAATAAGCTACCGCTATCTTATTTAACTTATATTTTATGGACGGTTAAAGAAACAATCAGTACTTTTTTGCTTAAATAAGTCTAAAATTTAAGAAAGTTAAAAACAATAAACTTTAAAATTACAATACAAAAACCGGACATAACTCAGAATATGTAAAATAATTGTGATCCCTTTCTAAATATACATTTGATCATCACCTGATAGTACATTCAATTCAGTGGCGTAACGGAGAATATAAAGGCCCACCTGCAAAGTCAGGTTTCGGGACCCAGCCAGGTCTTACAAGGGATTGCAAAAACTTAACATCAGGCATTTGGCCCCTTAGAATTCCCCCCCTCTTCGATGTGGGGGCGTACGTTACGTCACTGATTAAATTAGACCAGAGATAGCCTTCTTTTACATATAGACAATTTTCTCTGAATTCAAATTTACGGAACTTACAGAATTGTTTAACCCTCGGCAAGGCGAAGATTTGACATTAAAGTATATTTTACGTAAAATAATATTAAAAAAATCAGGAATTGATATTTATACGAAAAAACATCGAAAAGATAATGGTTAGTTATTTTCGTGTCATCACTGTTTATGACACGAGTATCACTGTTCACATTTTAAGATGTCTTGTTGCAGTCTTCACAAATCACCTTACAATGTTCAAGGGCCTGACAAGAGGGAACAATACCTTCTTTTCCAAGTACCAAGTGATGTTTTTCTTAGTTTTTCGTCTTGAACAGAGCATTGTATATCAGATATTTCTTCAATCCTGAGTCAAAATGAACGACCCACGTGAATGTTACGCTCAGACCGTCTTCGCAGGGGCTCTTTCAAAAGTTCGAGACCCAGTTTTCTTAGATATGTGCCCGAGGATCTTAGTGATTTTGATTTTCATATACATATTTTGATTTATTCCAGCTACAATGAGAATTGAATAAAATACAGTAACTGGCGAGACATGCGGCATCCCTCATACGTATCTCAACTCCTAGCCAACAAAAACAAAATAACCTATCAAAGAGTAGTTACAAAATATTTGTTTCGAGTTATTTTCGTATAAAACGAAAAACTACACTATTTTACAAGAAAAAATTCAAAAATAACGAAATTGTACTAAAGTCATAAAAAGTGACGTTGTTGGGTGCGCTGCATCTATCAAATTCAATGGCCCCTGCCACCCGAAATATGAAGAAATCGCCCTGTTTATTGACATTGAATCCTAGGGCGGGTGATGAAAGACAGATAGAAGAAAGAAGGGCGTGTTCCAATCCACCGTGTGGACACAGCACCGAAATTATTTTCATTATGCGTTTGAGAGATTCGTGTGCCTTATGGAGGGTTAAAAAACCTCTCTCGGAACTAGTCCTGTTTGATCTCTATAAATGACTACAGCAATAGGAATCAAAGTAGTTATTACATACTTTTTCTCCTGTTTTTAAATTTTGTACATTTTAATGAACATTAAAGACTTAGTAGCTATACTAAGCTAAAGTTAACATTACCTTAAACAAAATTAATACAGTGCTAGAAGCACAAATAAATTTCTTACCAATGTATTCATAATCATACTTCGGCATACGAAAAGCAGTGCATAGGTATGTTTCTTTCTGAAATGAAAAAAAGAAAAATTATTTCGGGAAAATTCTAATTGCTTTACAAATAAAATATAAAAACAAGAAGAATATTGGATCCAAAAAAAAAAAGATTTTTAAGAGCCTTTTTGGTTTTATGACTTATTGAATATTTAGTTTAATAAGCACAGCATATTGAACTGCAGCATTTTAATAAAAAAATCCTCAATATGCATTTAAATGTATTAGATAAATGGCCAAAATAAACTTCTTAAACAAAGATAGGTTAATCGAAAATTGTAAAACAATTATCTAGTACAGAAATATAATTCAAATACACATGTACTATATTTTAAAATAAAATTCATGAAATTTAATGAAAAGATTCATCACACACACACACATTGTTCAATATTCTGTTTTAAATCAACTATAATAAGGCAATAAAAAGACTCAAGACCGCGCTTTAATGAAGATCTGCAGAATTTGGGGGTATTTTAATTTACCTTCAATACGATTATTACAATTTTATATAAATCACTTGAAACAAAATTTTGACAATATTCTTCTGATATAGTAACTAGCAGAAAGAGAAAGACTTACTTCTCTCATTACTACAACTCTAATTTTTTATGTGTAATTCAGAATAAAATAAACAATAGACTTTTCAATATTTGCTGTGCTTTTAAAACTTTTTTGTGAAAAACTTCTAATTTACAATAAGAAACCAAAAATATAACAGCAATGAATTTTATTAGCGACAGAAGGACGATTTTACATCAATATTTTCAAAAACAGTTAATTGTGTTTAGATATAAAACTTTAATTTCGTATTTTTCTACGTTTAAAATACATTAAAAGTTTTTCATATTTAATTTAATACTTTTACAAACATAAGTGATTTCAGTTGATAGAATTGCAGACAGTAAAAATTTTCAAGTTACTTTTTTATCTATATGTCACAAAATTAGGCTGAATTATAAAAGCGAATAATACAAATAGTAATCTTAATAAATTTTAAAAAAATTATACTCAAAATATTTTTTTCGTTAAAATTTTTATGTGATTCAGTTTTTAAACTTTTTACGTGGGTGTAATTACGTGCGTTGTAAGTTGAGTTATTTACATAAAATCATCTTTTTAACGATTATTTAAAAATAAATATTTGACCATCAAACTAAAATTTAATTAAAAATTCCAAATTTTGGTCACATAACAAATTATTTTTCTCATTCCATCAGATATCTAAATAATATTTTATAGATATTATTCATTACATTTACAATAAACAAAGCAAAAAAAAAAATCATAAAAAAACTTTTTTTTTCACTCTTAGACAAATTTAATTCACATTTGGATATATATGAAAAAAATGAAGAGATACGTTTTTAAGTAATGTGGAACCAGACTTATAAAAAATTAAATATAATTTTCTGCGATATTTTTGGCACTTAATAATACATCTCTAAAATGTTTTTAAGGAATTTAACTAGAATAATCCATTTAAATGCTTTAATTTTTGTCAAAAATTACGACTTAGAAAAACCTTATGGAATTCTCCTTTCTACAAAAAATTTATCGATTGATAGAATTTTCTAGCCACTCGTACGCTAAAGAAAAAATTTTAAATTTTTTTAAATTAAAACCATTTTCGAAATAAATTTTATTTTCTCAAATTTCTCCCTCCCGATTTAATATGGATAAACCACTTCTGGTTATGCAACCTGTACACAAAACAGTTGATTGAGAGATCTCTGATACAAAAAATCAAAAAGCAAATTTTTTTAAATAGAACATTTGAATTAAAATATTCTGTTTTTTCTAAAAGCATTTTAAAACCAATTTTTTATCTCTTAATTGAATAATTCATACATGCACTCTTTTTGACACTTATCAAATAATCAATCCGTATTGTATAAATTTCAGGTTGTTGAATTTAAAAGTAAAAAAACCTTATGTTTAAATGTCAATTAGGATGTACCGAGCCTATGCATCTTGAACACATCTCCAACGTTTTTCGATTAGAAGAATTTTTCTGAATAATCGTCTACGCATGCTTTTTAAATTTTATTAGATTAAAAAACTACCGACCCACACCATAGGAATTCTCAAACACAACCCCAAAATTTTTCGGGTTTGGGTGAATTTTCTAGGGTGTACTGCTAAAAAAACTTTCAAAATATTTAGTTAAAGAACGACCGATGCGACACCATATGGAATTCTCAACAGCCACATCTCCCGAATTTATTGATCGGATAGAATTTTCTGGTACAACCGCTGTACAAAAAAGCAGGATGAAGAATCCTCTGATACAAAAATCAAAACTAAATTTTTTTTTAAATCCATTTCTTTTAATTTAAATACTTGTTTTTGGCTCTAAAAGCATTTTATCCAACTTTTTTTTATCTCTTAATTGAATAGTTCATACATCGCACTCTCTTTATTATCGAAGGCCAAGACATCGTATTGTATTATTAATTTCAGGTTGTTGAATTGCTAAAAGTATAAAAAGACCATATTGTTTTAAATGTCAATTAGGATGAATCGATTTTTTTTTCTGAATTTAAAAACGCACCTATGCAGTAAAGATGTTCTCTAGTATATAAATGAAGGGAAAAATAAATAAAAAATTTGTTTTTTATGTTAAGTACTGCCACAAAGGGAATGAATTTAGAAATTAGAGCTTTTTATTGTATAACAAGTAATATAAAAAAATTTAGTCAATTCCTACTTAGGTCAACAAAGAAAATTTTATTTTAGTTACTTTTTTATTGAATAGTTACAATTAATATATATATATATATATGACAGAATCACAATATTAAGTGACAAAATAGAAAGCGATTTTCCTTGCATTTTTCCATTTTCCTTTCTGTATAGGGTGTTGGACTATTTTTTGTTTGTTATTATTTATTCATTGATTAAATTTAATTATTCTAATAAAAGTCACATTCTCGGGAAAAAAAAAGAAATCACATTCTCAGAAACTAGGCCATCCCCGGTGGGATTCAAAGCCACGCCCTTTGGATTAGAAGTCCAACGCGCTTCCATTGCCCTACAGGACACAACGAGCAATTTTCCTTTCTATATATGCTGTTGACTATTATTTTTGTTTGTTACTATTTATTCATTTTTAAATTTAATTAATGAATTAATACTTGAAAAAACTGTATTAACATCAAGTATCATCCACTACAAGTTTAAAAAATGCATTTGAACTTGAATGGATGAATAGAAAGTATTTTATTAACGATTGAAAATTTGAACAAGATATATATATATATATATAGGAGAGAATAAACTAATAGTAGAGGAATTGAAAAAATCAAAGTAATTTTTGTTAAAGTAAAACAGGCATTTTAGTACTTTTTGCCATTTATTGCGATGAAAATACACCAACTTTATAGTTACAAGAGGAAAACATCAGGTATATTTAACATTGTTAGTACTGAATTGAAAAAGAACCCCACTGTCGAAATTAAGGCACGATAAAGTGTAAGACGAAAAAAGCTTGCATCGGACAGATTGGTCGGCGCAGGGAAGGAGAATTGGAGTTACTGAAATATGCTACGTAGATTGTAATATTCGCTACACAGTATTTCACTTATCAATCATCATTGCTTTTGATTAGTTTTATTGAAGAAAAATAATTTTGAGTCTAAAGTCATATATATCTAACTAAAATTAAATCATTTTCCATTTGTTTCGGAATTTCAACCACTGTGTGGCAATATTATATATATATAAATTTCGAAATTATTTTCTTTAATTATTTTTCTTCTAATCTCCATACCATAAAACATCTTTTCCGCATAGCAGGTTTCGGTGAATAACATTTTTTTTCCCTCCATATAACCGCAATCTACCTAACATATACCTAATTCCCATCTTTCACAAATATTAATTTAAAATATAAAATTTTGAAAAACATAAGAAATTCTAAAAATTTTTCTGCTAATAATGTGCATAATATGTACATTATAAATTAGAGATTTTTTTCTGTTATCCTTATTCACTTGTGAATACGTGTGATAAAATTCGATTCGTATACATATATTTAACCAGTTTTTTCTCTTATTAGATACCGAAACGGAGAATTTTTTCTTTAATAATAATTTTAAGCAGTTTTTTCTTCTAATTTAATTAAGTATGGAAAGGCAAAATTAAATTTCCATTTCTTTGAAACATTTTTTTATGTAATTTGTTTTTACCTGTTGAATCACAAGTAGCTCATATTTCCTATTAAAGATATTTTTTAATCATTTTTTCTTTTTATTAAATAACGAATCTGAGTCATAATAGCTCAATTTCTGAAAAGAATAATACTTTCGAAAGAATTTTTTCTCCCTTTTTGAAAATAGAGATATGAGTAATCCAAGCTTAAATTCTGTTAAAAACAATATTTTTCAAATAAGTCCCCCTTCTTTCAAAGATTCATCGATTTCAATGACAAAAACACATTCCTCCTAAAATTTTTGTAACTGAGGCATTCCACTCCAGAAGCACATTTTTCTAAGAATAAAACACACTATTAGTTTATAAATTATCGTTGAACGAACAAGAATTATTTTGTATTGAAACATATTGACCCCTTAATGCTCACCTTTTTTGAAAAAAATCGGCAAAAAAAAAATTAATTTATTTTTATTTTACAAAACACGTTTAGAAACATGTTTGTGGATAAATATTTTTTTAAAAAAAAAAGTACAAAATCAATTAAAACATTAACTTTAGATTTTAATCCACATTGCAGATAAATGCCAAATATAGCCAGCTTGCACGTATATTTACGTTTATAATTTTTCTTTTAGTATTGCTGTACAGGAAAAAAAACCATTTTTATCGGTTAAAATATTTCTTTACACTTTTTCAACAGAAATAAGAATAATAGTAATATTTATTTTAAAAAAAGGATTATTCAATATTTTCTTTTGTGTTATCTATTTGGAAGCAAGGTGTGTGGCTCATCGCCCAATATCGCAATTAAACATTTAACCACTCAATTTTCTTTTTCCTTTTATAAGGTGACCAACCGTCTTCCTTTTACAGGTACTGTCCTTCCTCGAAAAGTGCCCTCCTATTTGTCCTCCTTTTCAGTATTTTAATACTGATCTGTTAATCTCTGTATTCAGAAACGAACCAAACATGTTTCCAATATGTCGAAGAATGGTCTAAAACAGAGGTACTCAATCTTTTTTTCTGCTGGGCGTATACATGTATCAGCAGTTTCACGCGGACCGCATACATATGTTAATTATTTCACGCGGGCCCCAACATGAGGATAAATGGGGGAAGGGGGGAGAAATGTTTTAAGACCAAGATAATATCGAAAATTTAAAATGTGGAAAATTGATTAAAATATTATAACTCCTGTTTCGTTTTTAATTATTATTTTTTAATCTTTTTATTTTTGTCACTAACACTAAATTAGAAGCATTTAAAAAACACTCCTTCACAATTTTACTACTTTGATATTATCACTGATAGAACACTTTGTTGCTGTTGCAAATATTATTCAAGAAAGCCTATTTATCACCTCTTGAAAGAGATCTTTGAGGAAAAGTATCATTGAATGATTCCTGTTTTTTGATATTTTTTAAATACAGCACTTTTATGACAAATCAAACAATTACTGATATATGTTTGTTTTTCACTACAAAATAAGTCAACCTCCCAATCGTCTTGAAACGATATATTTTCTTCGAATATTTTTCGCTTGTAAGATATCAAAGATAGTTAAAAATTAGTTCCTCCCATAAAATTTTTGCTACTCCACTGTTGTCTGTTATCACTAACCGTAACCGTACCAAATAGAAAAAGAATATCAATTCGTACCCGTACGACACAGACAGCCAAAAGCAAAATTGATGTATTTGATTTCTTGACAAAGAATTTCCCACCAAATTCTTTAATACAATGTTCTTAAATAAGTAAATTTCTCATAATGTAATGGGCCATGTAGGGCCACTTAAAAAGGCTCGGTGGGCCGCAGGTTGAGTATCACTGGTCTAAAACAACTATCACAGGAAATAACAGTTTTAATGGTATTTTTACTCCATCACATGTAAATTGGGCAGATATAGAAAATTGTGTGGAGTTTTTATCGAAAGAAATGCCTGATATTAAAATCGATGACAATTGTCTGTTTGAAGAAGAAAGAAGACTGAATGCATATTTAAATTCTAATAAATTAGAACAACTAGAAAATCAACATGTTGAAATTGATAAAAGATGGGGTGAAAATAATTAAACCATTTCAAAAATGAACACATTCCACATGAAAATTTAGTTATTCTTGTTGAATTTACGTTGTGTTGCCCTGGAACTAATGCAGCAGTTGAAAGAGTTTTTTCAGTTGGTAATGATTTTTGGACAAGTGAGAAATCAAGATTGAATGTTAATATATTAGCTACATTGCTTACCCTAAAATTTAGTAAGAAGGATATTTTTTGCTCCGAAATTTCCGTTATATTAGAAAATGATATGTCGACCAAAAAAAATCATTCAATGGAAAAGTACTCGTTAGAGTAAATAATTAAAAGCGTAAATAGCGTATTTTTGTTTGAATTAATAAAATGTTTCATACATTTACGTTGTAATTTTTTCTTAAATTTTTCGTCCTCCTTTCATCGTAAAAAAAACAAACTGATCACCTTACCTTTTAGCACAATACACACAGCAATATCTTATTGGAGCTTTTATTGGGTTTTGTATGTATGTTTGTGTTCGTTGAGCAAAACTGGGAAAATGATGTTCCGTTAGACGTAGAATTCCAGAATATTTTGGTCTACCCGACTTCTTTTTATATTTGTATCATTATGATAGTTCTGTGTTAGTCTTTCTCAACTAATTTGCTTCTGAAATCTAAATCTTTCTTTCACCTCCATTTTTTTTAAACAAAACATATGAGTTCCAAATGCTGATGTCTATAAAAAATATATATATATATATATATTTTTAATATTTTCCCTTTTTTCTTGTAATATAAATATAAGAAACAATGATTTTCCTCTAAATTTACTTAATCACGACGATTGATCGCAGACAGTCTGACAAGTGCAGCCGACGCTTGCTTATATTCCAGAGTGAAAATTACAGCAGCATAAAATACGATCCTGCTCGAATTATCTCGAGTATGCACTATTTGGACTGTTTTGTACGCTCGAATTAACTCGAGTGCACACGTTAAAGGCTTAATTCCTAAATGCTGTTTTACCAGATTATATTATTTGATTGCAAAATCGCGGTGCTAAACTTCTTCTAAATGAATTGCGTCTACCCAGGGACAATTTAAGACTTCTTGAAGCCCTGGGCCCCTAGGCAAAAGCAGGCTCTGGGCCCCTACACAAATGTAGAATCCACATATGACCCTTAAATTAGCCAGTACATAGCATACGTTTTCAAATACTCGTACAGACAACAACCCGGAACAAATAGTTGTGCATGACATGCAATCGCACAAATGATCTAGACCATATGCCACTTTTGAATGAAGGAGTAATGGTTGTGTATGTAGGGACTGCAATACCGGTATACCGGAATACCGGTATTTTGAGCCATTTGCACAATTTTGTAATACCGATATTCACACGTTTAAATACCGGTTTTTCGGTATTTACTAGAATTTTCTTTTTTTAAAATTGTCTCCACTATATGTTCAGGGATCGCCAGCATAACAAAATAGTATACGTTTTTGTTTTTATGTCTCCCTAAAGGGTTAAATTAATTATATAAACTGTGAATACATAGTTGCATCGTACAACCAAGAGAAGAGATAAAATACGTAATCATCCAAGGAGGAGGGACAAAACTATTCCATTACAGCTCAGAGCGATATTTCACACACGCAGGATTCTGTGTATCGCTCTGTATGTGTGAAAACAAGGTCGTATTTGTATACCGAAATAGAAAATGTCTTACGGTATGTACATAATTATAATGACTTTAAAAATGAAAACGAAAAAGAAGGGGAAAGAGACTAACCAATTCAAATTTGAACAAGTTTATAGTTAATTTTCTTAAAATTGTTTACCCAGAAACCTATCCACATTCAGAAGAATTTGG